CAGTGGATGAACTGGTGTTTCTTCGGCTGTATCGCCGCGGCCGTCCCTCTTCTCTACTTCATCGACACGGTGTATGGCCGGGCAGACATCGACGACATGGAGGTTGACGTGTCGGCGGATGTGTCGGTGGACGATGACCCGGACGTCTCTGCCATCACAGGGGGAGACTACCCGGAGAAACAGTCGCTGCTGAATGGTTCCTATGTCTGACAACAGTAGGCAGAAAGCTAGTGACACCAAAGATTGTTGAATGGTTCCTATGTCTGACAACAGTAGGCTAGTGACACCAAAGATTGTTGAATGGTTCCCATGTCTGACAACAGTAGGCTAGTGACACCAAAGATTGTTGAATGGTTCCTATGTCTGACAACAGCAGGCTAGTGACACCAAAGATTGTCCATTAGAGTAGAAAGTAGATCTAATAGGGTACATTGTAGTAGGGTAGTAGAGAATCTTTGGTGATACTGTTGCTGGGATCTTTGTTGTGCTTGTTGCTGTTACGTTACTGTTGCTGTTACGTTACTGTTGCTGTTACGTTACTGTTGCTGTTACGTTACTGTTGCTGTTAATGTTATGGTTATTGCTGATGTTGATTTTTTTTTTTATTCTTTAAAGTTAGACATACAATGATACATTGTGTTTGATGCAATGTTTTTCATTTCACACAGAGATGGGTGTTGTTGTTTTTTCTCATTACTTGGGGCACGCGGGGAGGGGAGGAGTGTCAGTAGTTCACAAGGACATGGAACTGGAGGGATTTGTTCCAGGAGATACGAGATCAGTCATTTAAACCCCACTCAGAGACACAGCATAATTAGGTAAATCATCGGATAAATGAATGAATTTAAAAAATGAATACATGTGAATGAATAAATGAACAAACATACATAGAAATTAATTAATTAGTTTAAAATAAAAGCAAATAAATGTCCAAGATCCAAGAAAAAATGTTGAAGAAAGAGGTGATTGTTAGGAAACTTTCTATGAACTTGTGAGCGTGTGTGTATCCAGAGCTTGAAATGTAACCAAATGTACTGAGTGCCAAGGGCTTTTTTGTGAACTCGCCATTTGCTCAATATTATAAGTATAACTATTGTTACTCTAGAACCCTAGTTGGGAAGGGGGGGGGGGGTAATGAAGGTGTATTTTTACACCCTCCTTCCTCACAATTATGATTTAGAACATTCCGGGAGCAGACGAGAATAGAACGTCTCAGCAGGAGCCAGATATTCTGCCATGTCTGACGTGTGTCATTGGGAAAGGCGCTTTCCTTGAATCTTCCTTTTTGGCCCAGCCCTACTCCTTTGTTTAAGGCCAGAATGGCTGCTGTGTTTTTTCTTCATTTTTATTTGTGTTTCTTTGTCTCTTTCGGGGCTTTTGTTAAAAATATGGCCTACTTCAAAATGAAATGTCCCATTGAAAAAAAAAATTGAATGGAAGTAGTGAGCATTCAAGAAAAGATGTTGAAAAAAGAAGAGTTGAGTGTTGGGAAGATTTCTATTAAGCTGTGTGTGTATGTATTCAGAGCTTGAAATGAAAATAAATGTATGGAGTGCCTTGAGCCTTTGTTCATTCATTTTGTCACACAATTGGTCCAATCAATTGTTAAATATTTTTTTATATTGATGTCACATGTGTGGGACTGCTGGTCCGTTTGTGAGTGTGTAAGTTTCGATGTTGTGTATGTATAAAGAGGGTGTGTTGGAGAGTATGTGGTGTGTGTGAGTGTAAGTTTACATATTATTGCAATAGGGTGAGTGTAAGTATCTAGATATATTGTGAGTGTCTATTGCAATAGGGTGAGTGTAAGTATCTAGGTACTATTGTGTGTGTCTATTGCAATAGGGTGAGTGTAAGTATCTAGATATATTGTGAGTGTAAGTATCTAGGTATATTGTGTGTGTCTATTGCAATAGGGTGAGTGTAAGTATCTAGATATATTGTGAGTGTAAGTATCTAGGTATATTGTGTGTGTCTATTGCAATAGGGTGAGTGTAAGTATCTAGATATATTGTGTGTCTATTGCAATAGGGTGAGTGTAAGTATCTAGATATATTGTTAGTGTAAGTATCTAGGTATATTGTGTGTGTCTATTGCAATAGGGTGAGTGTAAGTATCTAGGTATATTGTGAGTGTAAGTATCTAGATATATTGTGTGTGTCTATTGCAATAGGGTGAGTGTAAGTATCTAGGTACTATTGTGTGCGTCTATTGCAATTTGCAATAGGGTGAGTGTAAGTATCTAGATATAGGGGGTGCTTATTTAGGCCACATATGGCCTAAATAAGGTAAGGGAGGGGGTTTAGCTTATTTAGGCCACAGTGGACTGTGGCCTAAATAAGGTAAGGGAGGGGAGTTTAGCTTATTTAGGCCACACATGCTCAAACTACCCTTTTCAGGCAACTGAGTTCGTTCCACTTTCATAATGGTGCACCTTTCTCATTTAGTATGGTTTTGTCTCAGTGTACAACTTATAAATCATAACCATAATGAATATTGTAAAGAACAAAGCACAATACGCAAAATTTTGCTCAATCCCAATGGTTTGAATGAGGGCCAGATTTTTCCTTCATGGAGGGGCAAAAGCTAGGCTACCATTTTGGCACACTTTGGTCAAGTGAAAAGGTCAAATCCTCCGAATGGACTTCCGGGTTAAATTTGGGGTATAAAAAGTGTGTACACTATATAGGCCTACGTGGCTGAGTCAAAGTTACACTATCTTTGCCTGAGTGACACTTTCTCGTACTGTCTCGTAGTAGTACATGTAGGCTAGTAGGCCTAGTAGTAGTAGTAGCAAAGATCGTGTAGAGAATATTTGGTAGTAGATTCTATCTAGTAGACAGTTTAGTGAACGTGCTCGCAGCAGGGCGAATTGGCCTCGATAAGCCCCGTAGACTTTTGTGATCGGCCACGAAGCCTCGTGTTTTGATGGGTCTAGATCTAGATATAAACAACTCAGTGTTATTCGCACTGCCACATCTGACAGGCCTAGATCTACATCTTTTTAAAAGGAAAAGAAAGATCATCAAAATGGTTGAATTCGCGTGAAAATCGATTCGGTAGAACTAGAACTATTAAAATTTGCTTCTGAAAACAAGGCAATTCTTATACGAAGGCCATTTTTATAACTCGATGAAATAAAAACTACTGGCTGTGTACTGTGTTATTCTGTATAAAAATAAATTATGAAACTTCAGGACGTATTATTATTTTCCAGCATCTTTTGACGCTTGAGCTGTAGAGGTTGAAGTTTTCACAACACTAATAGATCTAGTAATAGGGCTTTCCGTAAAAAATGCATAGATCTACAAAAGCCGAACCACCGAATCGACCGAGCACCTCGCTCTCCCCTGCACACTGTGATAACGTGTTGCTTCGGTATCGCATTATTCAACTATTATTAATACGTGCGGCTATGGCAATTGGGATGTAGGCCTACTGACTGACAAAAAATTAAGTTTTGTTTTTATTTTACTATATTATATTTGACTTTAATAGTGCAGGCGATAGCAAGATCTAGATTCCCTGTCTAGAATCAGTAGTAGCAGGCCTATGCTAGAAGCAACCAGAGAGCCTACAACTGCTAGATCTAGATCTAACTTATTACTGCTATGCCTTTGGGCTTTGGAATTGAAATAAAACGAATTGCACAGTTCTAGTTACTTTTAGATTCAGCAAGTAACTGTATTTCCATAGTTAATAATAACAAATCTCAGCATAACAATCACTTTTACTTTTATTAGAATAATTAGATCCAATTTTTTTTCTAGAATCTGTTTTGCACAAACTTAAGATTTTCTCTACTTGTAGAGCACAGAATTTACATTGTAAGCCTCTGCTCAGTCTTTTAGTATACATAATAAAATACACACACACACACACACACACACATATATATATATATAGAGAGAGAGAGAGAGAGAGGGAGAGAGAGAGAGAGAG